CGCCGCTCCTCAGCGTTGAGGTGGTGGCACCGCACGGTGGGTGTGAGGGGCGGGGGGACCGGGGCACGGACACACGGGGGACAGGGATGGGGACGTGGGAGGACCGGGACAGGTGCGTGGAGGGACCGGGACACGGACACGGGGGACAGGGACGTGGGGGACAGGGACATGGGGGACAGGGACAGGTGTGTGGGGGACCAGGGCAGGGACATGGGGATGCTGGGATCAGGATGGGGGCGTGGAGGGACAGGGGCAGGGGCACAGGACACCAGAATCAGGATGTGGGGGGACCAGGACAGGGACACAGGGGGACAGGACAGGCACATGAGGGACTGGAGCAGGGACACGGGAGCATTGGGACCAGGACTGTGAGGGGGGCACTGGGAGCAGGATGTGGGGGACCAGGACAGGGACACAGGGGCACTGGGACCAGGACGGGTGCATGGAGGGACAGGGACAGGCACAGAGGGGACCAGGACCAGGACACGGGGGGACCAGGACATTTTAGGGACACAGGGGCACTGGGGCCAGGATGTGGGGGACCAGGACACGTGTGGAGCACCAGGACAGGGACATGGAGGATGGGACAGGGACACAGGGGACCAGGACCAGGATCAAGGCACTGGGACCAGGGCAGGTCTGTGAAGGGACAGGGACAAGGACACAGAGGATCAGGACCAGGACAGGGACACTGGGACTGTGACATGGGGGATCGGGATGGGGATACAGGAGACCAAGGCAGGGACACAGAGGACTGGGACAGGGAGGTGGGGGACAGGGACACAAGGACACTAAAACAAGTGCATGGGGGGACTGGGACAGGGGCAGGGACGTGGGGGACAAGGACCAGGACATGGGGGGACCAGGACACAGACACAGCAGAACAGGACAGGGACACAGGACTGGGACGCGGACACAGGGGACTGGGACAGGGATGTGACAGGACAGGGACCAGGACGTGGGGGGACACAGAGCAGGATGTGAGGAGGCCAGGACCGTGACAGTGACACCGGGACCAGGATGTAGGGGCCCAGAGCAGGGACATGGATGATAGGGAAAGGGATGTGGGGGGACAGGGACATGGGGGCAATGGGACCAGGACAGGTGCATGGAGGAACTGGGACATGGGGGACCAGGATAGGGACATGGAGGGGACATATAGACGCAGGGGAGAAGGTCAGGGACATGGCAGGACCTGGGCCAGGACAGGGAATGGGCACCAGGACAGGGATGGGGGTGTCGGGGCTAGGACAGGAGCATGAGGGGACCAGGATCAGGACAGGAACATGGGGTGACATGGCCCAGGAGAGGGACTAGGGACAGTAGCACTGGGATCAGGACAGGAGGATACCGGGATCAGGCCAGGAATTAGGCCAGGGACAAGGGACAGGGATCAGAGGGGGCTGGGAACAGGATGGGGACATGGTGGGATTGGGACAGTGACATGGGCAGGATGAGGACAGGGACAAGGGATATGGGGGGACCAGGACAAGGACAAGAGAGTTACTGAGACTAGGACAGGGACACACGGGGAC